CGCGGGGCCGGCCTGAGCCTGCAGCCGCCGCAGGACGGTACCCGCAGCCGGCCGGGGGCCGCAGCACCCGAGGAGCGTCGCAAGCGGGACGGACAGTCAAGCTGCAGATTTCTCGGCCCCTTGGCGTCCTGGGGCGTTTCATTTGTTTTCCTGTGCCCAGGATGGACGCCGGCGCCGCCATCGCTGTCTTCCTCTGCCCTTTAGAGGCTAGCCTAGAGCGGAAGAAAGATGATCCCTTAGACCTCCCAGCCAAAAATGCCCGAGCTGTTGGAGACTCAAGTCCTCTGTTTAACTGACAGACCACACAGAGCGGCAGAGGTCAGCGGAAGTTGTTTTTCCGGCGCTTTTTGTTCCTCCACCCCATTGAGTCTGATTCCCAGACAGCTACCTTCCCTGGGCTGGAAAGCCCTGTTTTTGTTTTTTTGTTTTTTTTTACCCCGACACACCCCTATCCTTGGGGAAATCACAGTTCTGATCGTCATAGAAAAACTGATACTTCCATCAACCCTACCAGTAACGTCATTTGTAAAAAAAATGCAATTAGTGTATTAAAATATTAGTAGCACACTTTAGAGTAGATAGACGGGTGTTTGCACTTTCCAGCTTTTCCCTGTGCTTGTAAATGCTCATCTTAAAATGCCGGGGGAGAAAGCAAAAATCACTATTAAGAAAATCAGTGGTTCTGTTGTCCCAAGGCTCCGTACTGAAATACTGCTTTGTGATGAAATCGCTAAACCAGTAAGTATTGCTTAATGAACTCAGCCATAAAGTCGCACAGTTCTGCCTATTTCCCGCCTGCGTGGGATGTTTTAAACTCCTCAGTCAGCTTCTGCCAGTCTTCTTCCTTCCCCTCTCCCTTTACTATTGTTTTTCTTTCTTTAACTTGTGGTGGAGGTAAATTTATCCTAGACAGACTTTTCGTTTGTTCCTAGCACCTTGTTACCATTCAATTTGTATTTGTTAAGCAAATGAAAATCCCATAGGCCCTCACATCCATACCTGAGATAAGTGAAGTCAGTCACTGGCCTAAAACGAAAAAGAAAGTCACATAAAAAATGATAAGTGTAGGATTAGAATGCAACAAAAAGCTGGCCATTTTTCAGCTGAGAGTCTGGAAGTTTCTGTGACCTGGTGGGTGCCTCCTAAAGGGAATTCCACCAAGAAGTCCTCTAGATATATATATTTGCTTAGTCAAACACATGGTTTTATGACCAGTTCCCCACCTCTAAAGATCAGCCTTCTTAGGAATGTTTAACAACGCTGATAATAGCTGGGGCCTTTTCTAAGTTTAGAAACTCCATCCTCTCCACCACCTTTGGACCCAATTACTTTATAGGTGAGAAATGTATGTTCTAGGCAACTGGCTCACAAAGTTGGTTGGTGGGAAAGCCAGGACTGGGACCACGGCTGTCTGACTCCAAGTCCTGCCAATCAACGTTCCAAATCAGTCTCTGTCCAATGGCTGCCATTGTCTCGGTGCTTTGGTGTCACTGGCCCAGCACACAAGGGCATTCCCCTGAGCAGGAGTAGAAGGAAACATCTCAGCCACTCAGCTGGGACAGAGCTGGCTCAAGAAACGCCCACTCTGTCTGATCTGGGCACAGGATGTGGAGGACCAGGACAAGAACTGCTAGGAAGTGTCCTGTGCTTTTGTCCAGTCACATTTTAGGCCAATTTGTGGACAATAGAAAACGCTCTGCTTAGATCAGTCGCCAGTGAGTTGGGAGTTCACCATGGGTTCTTATCAAGTGTGGTTTCCAGAGTCCTGCTTTCACTATTTGTACCTAATAGTATCTGCCCAGTGGGACTGCTGTGAAGATAAAGTGAGCTGACTTTTATGCAGAGACCCAACCACAGTCTTTAAGGCATTGCTTTAGAGGCTATTTGAGATATACTCTGAAAGAGCCTGCCAGGCATCTTAATTCCAGTCTTTTATTAAACAAGGGGTTCAAACACCTCTCTGCTTAGGGTGTCACACATGGCTAGTTGTGTCTGGCTTTTTCACCTCCCATGAATTGAAAGATGCATTAGTATATTTGGTCCTCACTATAACCCTGAGAGGGAGGCACCTTTATTCCCAATTTACAGGTGGCTCTGAGAGGTCAAGTTACATAGCAACTAAGGGGTTGGTGGTGTCCTGATGAAGCTGGGGAAGCCAGAGCTTAAGCTAAGTCATGATCACTCCTGGAGGAAAAGAAAGGGGTTCTTGCCATGGCTTTTACAGCCAGGGTCTTTGAAATCCTCAAGGAACCAATTATTTTCTGCCCCACTGCTCCTCCAGACATGTACCTCCCTAGAGGTAATGCTCAAAGGTTTCTTAGCAACAACCAGCTTCTCCCTTCCACATAGAGTTATTCTCCTGGGGGCTTCAGAAAGGGCAGACCAGCTCTGGGAGAGGCAGCCCCTCGGTCCAGCACTGCATGCCACACTTGAGGGGCACCAAGAAGTGGATGACAAAACTCCACCTGTACCCCCTTGATGAGCCTGGGACCAAAAGGTTAGCAACTTAAGGAGCAGGGACAACAAAATCAACCTGGTCTGTTCTCTGGAGAAGAAAGTCTGCTGCATTTTACAATAACACCATCTTCTCTCACCGCTCCACTGTCTTCTGCAAAGAAGAAAAGAATTGGGGTGTGGGTGCCTGAAATCAGACCAAGTACCAAAAAGAAGGTAGCAGGATGAGATGGGAAAATGGAAACTAGAGAGTTGTCAAATGAGTCTCTATTTTTGACCAGAGCCTCTCCTGTCTGGACCCAAGAGCAGGAGAATGGAATTTGATGTCTCTGAAAGGCCAAGAAGTGGGAAGCCACATCCCTCACCACAAGGCAAAATGCCAGGTGCAGCCATAGCAGGAAAAGGAGCATACATGTCCCTGAGACATGGGCAGCCAGGGGCTACAGAGCGGAGGATGGTTCACCTGTCCCAGCAGAGGAGGGCAGCCCAGCAGTGTGTTTAACCACAGATCCTCTGGCTGGCCTGTGTGTCATGGGGTACAGGGGGAATGGCGTGTGATTTAGTGTTCTCCTGTTTCCATGGTATAAATATTTACAGCCAATTTCCAGTTCTCCCTGTGAAGTTACTGGACAATACACATCATCACCTCTTCCAAGCCAGACTGCTAGAGCTGGGGCAATCCCCCCTTACTCCAGTGAGGCAGTTCCAAGGTGGGAAACTTCACAGGGTTGCCCAGGAAGGGGCCTGCTGGGAGCCAAACACAGGACTCAGGTAGAAGAGTCTTTTTGATCATTTCTCTCTTCTTTGATTTCATACTCATTAAATGCATGCATAGACCAAGATAACTGTTATTTTCCTAGCTTCACCTTTGGATATATGCATTGTATCTTAAATGCCTGAGAAAACTGGGGTGAAACATTTCCTGAAGTTGACATACCTATTTTTTAAAAAAGATTTATTTATGCAGACAGAACTGGGGTACAGGCCAGAGGTACAGGGGCAGTGAGAGGATTCCCCAGAGACAGAGTGGGGAGCAGGACAGGCAGCAGTGTATTTCTTCCAGCTGACATGCCTGTTTTTAAGACCAGATTCACTTCCCCTGATTATGAACATAAGATTCTTCCTAGAATAATGAAAATATAGAAAATAAAATATAATCATAGCCCATCTAAAAAGAATCATGGGCATCACTAGAAAGTTCTAGTCTTTTATACTGAGTTCCAGTAAGAGTGATTATTAAAAACAAATCTGTGGGTTCTCCATGGTGGTGCAACAGGTTAAAACACAGCAGTATAAAGCTACCTGCAGCCACTGCAGCATGGGCACAAGTTAGATCCCCGGCCAGGGAGCTGACCCACATGGCACGGTAGATCTCTCCTGACCACCCGCTGCTCCCCTCAGCAATGTGTTTCAGTCATTCTGCCTGTTCTGCTCCCCACTCTGTCTCTGGTGATTACTCTCAACCCCCACCCCTGTACCTCTGGCCTGTATCAGCTCTTGTGTGCCTAAGTAAATAAATATTAAATTTTTTGTGTGTGTGATGGTATTTTACACAGTTTTGATTCCTGATTTTCCCTGTACATAATGATATTTTGGACAACCAAGTAGTTTTGTTTTTTTAAACTAGAAAAATAATAAAATACTAATGGTTAAAAAAAATCCAAATGAACTTTGCAGATAGTGTGCTAAATGAAATAAGTCAACTATTTGACTTATTTCAAATATTTGAAATAAAACAAAAGAAAACATGTTCTGTATGATTCCACTCATTTGAAGTACCCAGTGCAGGAAAATTCCTAGGATAGATACTAAATGGTGGTTGCTGGGGGCTGCGGGTAGAGAGAAATGGAAACTGTTTCATGTGTGCGCTATCTGAGTTTTGCAAGATGAAAAGAATTCTGGAGGTGATGGTGGTGATGGCTGTACATCTGAATGCACTTTATACCACTGAACTGTGCACTTGAAAGATTAAGATACAAAGTTCCGTGTTCTATGTACTTGACCATAATTTATAAATGTACTAAATGCAGAAGAAAATGGGAGTTTAGAAAACAAGATAAATAGATGCCACAGAGAACAAAGGTACTTCATTGTGCTTG